CAGCCGGGCGCCCGCATCCCCCACCGCAGCCATGGCCACCACCAGCGCTGCCCCGTAGCCCCCCAGGCCCCGGTCTAAAGCGTGGGGAGCCAAGTGAACATAGGGGACGAAGTACCCGCCCCCGACCAGGGCTGTGCCCAGGGCAAAGACTGAGAAGGCCCGGCGTGTGAAGAGCCCCAGGCCGAGAGCAGCTAGGGGGCCGCGGGGTGGGGCCAGGGGGTCGCCAGGGAGGGCCAGCGGTCGCAGCAGGGCCCCACAGGGGGTGAGGTGGAGCGTGATAGCGCCCAGGAGGAGGAAGGCGCCGCGCCAGCCCAAAAGGAGCAGCTGCAAGGCGGGCGCCAGGAGCAGCGAGGAGGCCCCGTTGCCGGTGAGCGCCAGCCCCACCGCCAAGACTCGGCGGCGGGAGAAGTAACGGGAGAGGGTACCGAGGGCAGGGGCGAAGACCAGGGCCCAGCCGGAGCCTGCGAATGGATAGCACCGGCTGAGGGCCCGGACGCGGACACCTGCTGAAGCTCCGCCCCCCGCCCGCCCCCGGAGTCCCGGACAAGCTCCTATCCCCACCATCACCCCTGAAACACTCGGGCATCCCGCTCTCCTCACCAGCGAGGAGGCCCAGGCCGAGGTAGAGGTGCAGCAGACTGCGGGCGAAAGCCGAAAAGACGAAGCCGAGCGAGGTAAGGACGCCCCCAACCATCACCACCGGGCGCGCCCCCCAGCGTGTGCTCAGGGCGCTGCCCACTGGGCCTAGAAGGGGGCGGAGTCAACAGAAGACACGCCCCCAGACCCCCAAAGTCTCTCCAACACTTCTCATTGGCTGTTTGCCTGGCCTAAACTCCTCCCCTTGACCTCCAGACCCGCGCTTTTCTAGAACGTGGTTCCACCTGTCGCCCTTTCTCAGGTTGCCTGGTAATCAGATGGGTCTCCCATTAGTAGAACACTCAAGACCCCTCCACCCCATTCCCGCCTCCCACCTGGGGACCCCCCCTCACTGGCTGCCTGCTGCCCCGCCAAGGCCAGGGCGCTGACCCACGCAGTTTCCTGAGCGCTGCGATCAAAGTGCTCGGCGAGGTCAGGGAGGGCGAGGCCCAGGGAGCGTAACAGCCCGTAGGAGAGCCCGTTCACCGCGAAGGCTGCGGCCGCTACCACCCAGCCCCAGCCCCCGTCCGGGGGTCCAGCCGGCTTGGGGGTCATCGCCGTCTGCAGAGGTGGGGAAAGACCTATGAGTGAAGTCTCCACGTCCATGTCTCCGCGAAGGAGCTGGCATCCCTGGGGTCCAGCCTCTGGCAGCTCGCCCAAGGTGGGCACGTTACCCGGAGCAGGATAGGGCGGGGGCGGAGGCAGCGGGAGGCAGGCCTAGAGCTAGCACTCCTGGGTCCGCGCGAGGTACCGGGACTGGGGACAGCCGGGTCGCCAGGCTGGAGGCTCGCCCTCCCACACACTCCCCTTGCCCCTTACCCGACCTCTCCGGGCGGTGGGGGGAGGGGAAGGGCGAGGAGTGGCTGGGCCCGGTTTTCTCCCCGCTTCCCGGGCGGGCGGGGCCCCGGAGGGGAGCGAGTAGAGATGGAGCCCAACTTGGACGGGCTGTCTTCATAAACAGAGATCACCACCGGGGACTGAGCCACCTGGGACGCGGAGTTTCGGAGGGCGGGAGCGAGCTGAAACACTTAGCCAATCCGCCGAGCCGCGGGTGAGACCAGACGCCGAGTCCCACGAGGATTGAATTATCCACACCCACAACCTCAATCCCCAGGAAGGGAGCAGCGGGGAATGAATGCCACCCGCCCCGCCCGACTAACGCCCACGCACCTGTCGCCTGCCGAGCACGGAGGAGACGCATGGATTACAATCCCCAGCAAGCCCAGGGTGCGCTGCTAAAACATGGAAATAGGGGTCGTCCCCAGTGCGGGGGACCAACACAGCATATGAGTAGTTTTGCTCTTAGGAACATTGCTGAGGACCAGGTAAATCTCAGATACCAAATCACAGCCTTCCACTAAGCGCCTGACGCGTGCTGAACAAGAACTTTGGCTCAAGGAAGAGTGAAGGGACAGGACTCCATGGATATGAGAACCTATTACGTGTCAGGCACTCCTTCACAAGTTAGCTTTTGCTTAAGAATTTTTAAAATTTTATTCATTCATTCATTTATTTTCATTTGATCAGAGAAAGACAGACACATAGAAAGAAGAAAAGTGAGAAGGCAAGCCACCAGGAGTGTCCAGTGCCTTAGCCACCATGCCACCTGCTGGCCCCACACATTAGCGTTTTATCCCTACAATAATCCTATGGAGGTGTCATGCCCATTTTACAGGTGCGGTAACGGAGGCTCTCAGAGAGGTTAGGTGATTTGCCCAAATCACTCAGCTAAAAAAAAAAAAAAGAAAAAAAATAAGAAAGAAAGAGGGAAAGAAAAAGAAAAGAAATGAAAAATAAAATGGCGGAAATATTTCAATCCAGGTCTGTCCAACTGCGGGATCATAGGACTGAATTATTAATACAATAAGCCACAGCTGAGGGAAATGGCCAGGAGACAGTTTGGTGCACACTACCCTGAGAAGAACAGAACATTCACAGGGCCTAAGAGCTTATGAGTCTAAAATAGAAGTCATTGGATATAGAAAGGATCCTTGCAGTCAGAACCTCTGAAGACTTGGGCTAGAATTTTTTAAAAGCAAAGTAAAAAAAAAAAAAACAACACAGAATTGAACCCAGGTATTGATTCCTTGGAAAATGTTATGAGATGTATCCCTTTTTACAGGTTAACGTTGCTTCGCTTCACTTGTTTGAATCAAGAGATGCAGTCTTTGGCTTAATTATTAAACAATATATTAATAGAAAATTTTGCAACTTACAGTTTGAGGTATGCATCAACCAACAGCCACAGGATGGCAGTGTTTCCTAATCGTTGAGAAAGACTGCCTGTAACGAAAACAAAAACAGCTTAAGTAGTGAAACTATAAACCTAAAAAAAACCCAGCTTGTCCTTCAATGGTTCTCCATTGCGTGTGGGAGTAAATATTACATTTCTCTATTTCCTGTAGAAGGCCTTTCACGGTAATCAAAGGTAAACCTTGGCTACCTTTCCATCCCATCTCCTTTCCCTCCCTCTCAGACCTCCTGCCCGTCAGCTTCTCACCTCATCTGTTCCACAGTCATGACTAGCTTTTTCTGAACTTCTGCATTTTTGCATATGTCATGCTATCTGCTTGACATGTTCTGGACGGGGGACATGAGTGGATGAAGATTCAGGGTTCTGCTACACCTTTGGAAAGTGGCCCCACAGGTTTTTTTCTTCAGCCTGCTGTGCAGTTCTTTTCTTTTCTTTTATGGAGAGGTTTTTTCTGTTTGTTTGTTTTGGCTATAGGGGGAGTGCGCTCACTAGAAAGACAGAGAGAGACATAGAGACAGAAAGCGAGAAATCACCCCCCTGTGGGGGGATGGCCACACCGCAATCCCTTCTCCTCCATTCTCCTCTCGGGATCTTGGGCACGCACGTACACGCGCCCAGCGTGAGTTTAAGCCACCAGGTACAGGACTCGAAACGCGGTCGACTACATGGGAGTTCAGTGACATAGCCATTAAGCTAACTGCTGGTCCTGGCCTGCTGGGCAGTTCTGAAAGTCACCAGAGGTGGAGCCAGCAGGTCCTCAGCCACCCAGAAGGTGGGAGAACCCTCTTCTTGAGAAGATGAGGATTTTGTTCCAAGATGAACAAGCCAACAGAGGAAACCCCCCCTCCCCTGCCACCTCTTGGTAAAGTAGGCATGCAGGGAAGTCAAAGGGAAGATGCTTATGAACCCAGGGCCTGGCAAAACTGACATCTTTTTTTTTTTGGAGAGGTTTTTGCTATAGGGCGCTTGTGCTCACCAGACAGAGACAGAGAGAGAGAAAGCAAGAAATCACCCCCCAGGGGGGGATGGCCACACCGCAATCCCTTCTCCTCCATTCTCCTCTCGGGATCTTGGGCATGCACGCACATGCGCCCGACGTGAGTTTAAGCCACCGGGTATGGGACTCGAACTATGGTCGACTATGTGGGAGTCCAGTGACATAGCCATTACGCTAACTGCTGGTCCCAAAACTGCCATCTTTTGCTCATAGAGGTAAAGGAGCACAGAGATTGGGAAAATGGACTCCAAGCTAGACTTCCTGAGTTTGAACCCATGCTCTCTACCACTTACTGGTTATATGATTATGAGCAAGTTACTCAGCCTCTCTCTGTTTTCTCATCTGTGAAGTGAAGGGAAAAGGGGTCAGCTCTTGGATCAATGGTAAAAACACAGCCCTTCACAAGGCCAACTCCTGTGGAAAGGTTCTGGGTTTGTGTCCAGAGACCTTTCTATGAGTATGCCAGAAAAGTGTTTTTAAGCTTTGTTTTTAAAAAGGGCCAGCAAGTAGTATGGTGGATAAGGTACTGAATCCCACATGGCAACTCTGTAGTTCAAGTTCCAGTCCCAGCTGGCTTGAAGCCCATGTCAGGTATATGTGTGTGCGTGCACAAAACCTCAGGAGGAGAATGGAAGAGAAGGAACTACAATGTGGCCATCCCCCCGGGGGTGATTTCTCACTTTCCCTCTCACTGTCTGCCTCTGTCTCTCTCCAGCAAGTCCATGTGCCCTATGGCAAAAACCTTTAAACAAATGAAAATGACTATAATGAGAGTAAAAGGAAGTTATTCTTTTTTGGCGACTGACTTCCTTAGCATTTTCTTTTTTTTTCCTCTTTTTTAAGAGAGATTTTTGCTATAGGGTACATGCACTCAGTGGAGAGACAGAAAGCAAGAAATCATTCTCAGGGGGGATGGCCACACCACAATTCCATCTCCTCCATTCTCCTCTTGGAATCTTGGGCACACGTGCACACACACCTGGTGTGTTTTATGCCTTTGGGTCCAAGACTCGAACCTCAGTCGACTATATGAGAGTCCAGAGATGTAACCATTATGTCATATGCTGGTCCATTCCTTAGTATTTTCTTTCTTTCTTTTTTTTTTTTTTTAAAGAATTATTTATTGGGGGAACCAGCAGTTAGCGTAATGGCTATGTCGCTGGACTCCCACATAGTCGACCGCGGTTCGTGTCCCGGACCCGGTGGCTTAAAACTCACGCCGGGTGCGTGTGCGTGCGTGCCGAAGATCCCGAGAGGAGAATGGAGGAGAAGGGATTGCGGCGTGGCCATCCCCCCTGGGGGGTGATTTCTCACTTTCTGTCTCTATGTCT